ACATTGCCATCTTTGTTTGCATGGCAACAAAATGCGTGCACATTGAACTTGTGACAGGATTGTCAACCGAGCATTTTTTGCTTGCTCTTAAGAGATTTATAGGTAGGCGAGGTAATCCATCTGTGATTTACTCTGACAATGCCACAAACTTTTTAGGCTCCAGTAACCAGTTGAAGGAACTTCATGATTTTTTTAAGAGTAAGGAAAATGTTCATTCCATTGAAAATTTCCTCGCGCAAAATGAAACCCAGTGGAAATTTATACCTCCACGGTCACCTCATTGGGGGGGCATATGGGAGGCTGCGATTAAGAGTGCCAAGTACCATATCAAACGAACTATTGGTGACACAGTATTAAACTTTGAAGAGTTTAGCACTGTACTCACTTCTATCGAGAGCATCTTAAATTCAAGACCCTTGAGTGTTTTGTCTAATGATTCGTCTGATTTGAATCCATTAACGCCAGGTCATTTCTTGATTGGCGATAGCTTGGCTGCATATCCAGATAAAAATTTACTTGAAGTTTCCAATAATCGTTTATCTATGTATGAGAAATGTGTGAAAATCAAGCAACAGTTTTGGAAAAGGTGGTCTGTGGAGTACTTAAATAGGCTGCAGCATCGACCCAAGTGGTGCAACCCTTCACAGAATTTGAAAATCAATCAGGTGGTATTGGTCAAAGAGGACAATTTACCACCTCTCAAATGGTCTTTGGCACGTATCAGTGAGATACCTCACAGCCCAGACGGCAAAGTGAGGTTAGTTAAAATTAAAACCCAAGATGGAATTTTCTATAGGTCCATTACAAAATTATGTCCTTTACCTGATGATAAACCTATAACCGATTGTGACGATTCTTAATGTAATTATTGATTACTGATAATATTATTATATTTTATAGCTTAGGTTAAGGAGTTACTTGTTGATAGTTTATAATAAGTGTTTTAGTAAAAGGTGTGAATAGTGCTTTTCTCAGTGGGTTCATTTGATTTTTTATTGGACTTTTCATCAGAAAATGCCCAAGGCGGGAGTATGTTGGATTTTCTAATAATTATTCCTGAATTTTATATTATTATTTATATTATGGTGCAATCTATCCTTATTGTATTGGTTACAAGTATTGGTGCAATACCAATTCTCCCAAAACATAAAAAAACCCACAAGAAGGAAGTTTTTTAATATGCTTCTTCCCCCCAAATTCCAATAATGGGCTCGTCCACACCTAGATATTTTAAGGGAAGCGCCATTTCTGTATAAATTCCTGGGAGAGTCGTGAGTTGGCTATCGCATAAATAGGTACTGTGCTACCCGCCGTATTGAAGAAGCGGCGTCGCGAAGTCGCGTCCAAATTTTAATTAATTAGCAAGAAATTGCTATTGCACAAAATACAGACAATAAATAAAAAATGTAACTTTGTTTATTGCCGATTGTCATCGTAATGTTTTGAAAAGTTAATACAGTCCACTTTTATTAAGAACAACCCGGTGTTTCGTAATTATTTTCTATCACATAACCTCTCGGGTAAAAATGAGCTATTAAAGCTTTTATGTGTTAACAGATATCATAACTCCCAAGGGAGTTAAGGATTTCCATAACTCCCGCTTTTACCTTGAATAGGTAACACTTTGACAAAAAATAGAAATTTTGATTTATGGCTTATTCCTTTATAAAAATAGACAGAATACAGTAAATTCAGTAGGATATAAAATTATCTATGTACCACGGGAATTATCAGGAGTTAATACCCACGGGCAATTGGTGTCCCTCGGGCCGGAGGCCCTCGGGGCACAAACGTTGCCCTGGGGTATTAACACCTGCATAATTCCCTTGATACATAAATAACTATAAGTACCTATGTATTAGATTTATATTTTGATATTTTGATTTGACGTGTGTAAATCGCTTTGTGATGTTGACATAAATAAATGATTGATTGATATTTTGAAATAGAAAAAAATCCGGCAACATTGCGAAATGATGGATGTGGAGAGACGTGATTATTCAGAGGCATGATTCTTTTGGTTAGAGCTTAAGGTTAGAGCCTGAACGACAGCACAGTGGCGTGGTTATTGGCGAAACTAAAAAAAAAATTCTAATAATTTTATTGGTTCATTTTCTTGGTGTTTTCGGTGCCACTGAACCCAAAGACATGGCTGCCATCAAGCGGTGTCAGTTGAGCTGTCAGTGAATATTCTTAGGTTACTCCCCACTTTTCTTCCCCCTTTCGTGTCTATCAACTTACCACTTGCTAGACTATAAATATGTTTTTCTATTTTGGTTTCATATCGAAGTCTTTTCGACACTAAAAGTAGTTTCGAAAAGAAGCTCTTTGTAACACTCTTTTTTTACTTATCGGAAGTTGGTAACACTGGCTGACTGATGGCCATCGAATTGTCATTTGCGATTTTATTATTGGTAAAAATAAAAATAAAAAAGAAGATTTAATTCAATATTTGGCATGTAGTGTTACCAACCTAAACATGAAATCAGGACATATGAGAATAAAATTTCCAAGAAAAATTTGTTTTCTTTCGAGTTTTCTAAAGGGCGAGACGTCTTATGAAACTTGTATTTTAATGTACTATATTGGGGATGCCGGTACAAAAATAACTATATTGGGGATGCTGTAAGCAACATTTTTTACCCGGGGCACAACCCTGTATATATGACTGGTGAGGCGTGGTTAGCTGTCAAATATTGGAATCCTATATCCAAAAGCAGAGTAACTATGGCAGATTTTAATGAAAAAAAAAAATTTGTTTCTACTAAGTCGACCAAGTTAAGTCGAAAAATGTCAACCATTTTGACACCTGTCAAAACCCTGCCAAACGGCAGCACTCATCTTTTCCAGTTTTCAATATTTTATGATGTTATTTGACATTTTTAACTTATAAAGTCTGTTTTTTTTTTTTAAGATAAAAGTCAAACTGACATTATGTTGGCAATACAATGTAAAATTGTCAATCCTTTCAAATTTTTATGTAGAAAAGGCTTGCGTTGCCAACATAGTTACTAAATTTTTGACTTGGGGAATTATCTTTAAAAAAAACAGATTTTATGTAAATTCTGAATTCAAAAATTGAAAAAAAAAAATTACAGAACTGCCAAAACCTGTCATTTGATAAAATACTCTAATTTATTGGTGATAGAACATTAAACAAAGTTCATACATGTCACATTTTGACAACTATCAGAATCTGTTAATAGCTTTTTGGTTCATATTGAGTTGGTTTGCTTAGTGTTCTACAACGGGCATAAAATTGGTTTAGTTCTACAACGAAAGTTCGTTGTTTATGCGTTGTTTATATGTTGCCGATATTTTGGCGGCTTCTTGCGATAAGCTATTCATTGTTCAAGTTTTTTGATAACAAAAAAAGTAGATATACCCTTACTGGACAAAAATATCTAAATAATGCTGAGCATTAGAGGCTAAAAAAAAGTTATTTTGCCGGTAAAAATTGCTAGCTGCTATGTATGCGGTAGCTTTTTTTAAAATGTACAGCAGATGCAGCATGTTTTTCAAGATGATATTGCATTAAATATCTACCGGGATCGTATTGACATATGCAAAATACATAGATCCAGATTCGGTTTAGAAGAAATTGGTCTTACTCCAGAAACCCGAGTTTGCATCAACTGTGACCAAAGAATAGCCCGCGTGATGGTAGATATGGATATCAAAAGGGCCACCAACTTCACCAATGAAGAGGAGAAGCTTCTCATTTCACTTGTTGAAAAATTCAACTATATAATTGAATGCAAAAAAAGCAATGTTACCACATGGCAAGAAAAAGAAAAAATTTGGAAGATTATTGAAAAAGAGTTCAACAGTGCTAGTGGAAAAGCGTTTAGGCATTCAAAACACCTAAAAGAAAAATATTCGTGGATATAGCCATCAAAAATATTCTGAGAACTCAGATGGAGAAATTACAAAATTCCTACGATGATGATGCAGTTCGTAAGTATAGAAATAGTGTATTTCACCACCGCCACCTTATTGCTTCAGTGCAATGCAAATTTATTGATTTTAATTATTATCGCCCAATTTATATTGAGCTACATTTGGTCTGACAATCAATAATACATTGTCGGATAGTCTCAACAAACGATCATACAGATTAGACCTTCAATTTAAACGCGTTTGATTCCACAGTCTTGATCATCTGGCCAAAAATAGCCCAATGCAATGTTAATACAAGGAGATAATGTAATAATGCAAAATTAACGCCAGGAACGTTTTTTTTACAGGAGCAAAAGTTTCCAACGTTGAACATTTTGTCACTGAAATTGGTCAAAATTTCAGAGAACAAACGTTCCAAATTGTAAGTATGCAATTCAAGGAAGAGCGGTCAGATCTAATTGTTTGGTTGGAAATAGTCTTCAACTGATTTCTGACTATTGTTGGGACAGACCGACAGACCTGTCACTATGAGAAGTTAGTACCTCTGTACTTTCATATATAGTTGAGCATTTCAAGTGTTGCTGGCCCAAGTGCAGTAATAATGTAGCATAGCGCGCGGATTTTCTACGAATTACAAATCTGCACCCTTCATGATTACATATTTCTGTAAATTTTGAAGGACTTTATAATTTTACCGCTACTCGCTAGACCTTATTCTTGCGGAACTCTGAGGATGGTGGAGCGTGAGGAAAAAAAGTATCCAGAGTATCTAAGCATTTAAAAATAAAGTATCGGTTACTTCAAATTTAGCAAAAATAACTGACTGAGCCACAGCAACGCGTGGCCGGGTCAGCTAGTTTTATTATAAAATAGGCGCGCAGCTACAGTAAAGCATTCATTTACTTTCGAGAGCGCATCGCAGTAATTTGTTTCACTTAGAATAGTTAAAAGTTTTCATTTGTAATACATACTAAGTTTTCAAAAACAAAGTTTACCAAAGTGGAAACTCAATTTGTGTAAGTGCTGAGTATAATAATAACATAAATAAAGAATTTCAATTTGAATAGAAGTAAACGATATTCTATTCTAAAAACTCTCACCTGAGGAACTAATGTTTCCGAACTAGCATATTCGTCCAAACACAAACTTTTGCTCAAATGCTCCTTGGTCAGAGTAGTTTTACTTTTTTGCATCAACGAAAATGGTCTTCTGGGTGGCATTTTCTGATTCGGTTTCTGTCCATTATTATTCGGAATATTATTGTCGCGAAGAGGGATATTATTGGTTTTGGATATATTGGAATTTCTAGAAAATTTCATATCACTAACCTAAAAATAAAACCATAGTTTAGATTATGGAATTCAATCATACTTTAACAACTTCTTTTATTAAACCAAGGCAAGTGCCACTTTTAGGTATTATTTTCTTAGAACGGGAAAATTTTATTGGTATAGGAGCAGGAGAGATGGTTTTAGGTTTCACAGGAGTCATTGAAAATCTTGGTCTTTGGTTGGATTTGAAGGAATTATTTATATCGGTAACCTAAAATGTATTTTTTCCTATAGAAATTTTAGCAAACAAAAGAAATTCTTACAGTTCTACTCCGTGTTAATCCTTGTTGTCCTCTTTGAGTATTAGTAGCCTGAGCACTTCTTGCACTGCTACTAGCATTACTTCTTACTTCCACTTTTGGTCTTGGAGGAACGATTTTAGCTGAAGCACTCTTCGTTAAGGCCATTGAATATGCTGGTCTAGTGCTGACTGCTGGTTTAGAAATTGCAGGTTTGTTATCTGTGATATTAACGCTAGTAGATTTGGTCGCTACTTGAGGCCTGATTGGCGCTGCTTCAGGTTTAATGAGTTTTGTCGTAGTATTATTCTTTCCAGGTTCTGGCGTTTCTGGTTCAGTTTGAGATTCTGCATGGACTTTGGCAGTGTTGGATTTTTTTAAAGGAAGTCTAGGAAAATCATCAGTGCTAGTACTTTTTTCTGCACTCTCCACTCCAACTTTCCTTAAAATATCATAAGTCCTCTGATCTTCACTGGGAGAATCGATATTTTTGATGGTGCAACTAGAAAAAAAATTGGCAACATTTTCAGTTAGATCCAAGTCAAAGCCCTGCTTCTTCTGGTCAATGTTTGGAGCCGCTTCTGGTTTAGCTTCAGCTGGTTGATGTTTGGTTTCTACAGTAGTCAAAGAATTTTCCTTAATATTTGGTGGATTAGATTCAGCTGAAATCTGTTCTTTGCCAGCAAATTTTAAATCATCATTGCTGCTTTTGAATGAAGATTTCCCTAATGGCTTGCTAACGGTTTCATTAGTTTTAGGCTTGATTGCAACAGATTTACTTTTTGAAGTAACTATTTTTGGTTCTGCCTTATTGGTAGCCCTGTTGGCAACATTAGTGGTTTTTGCCTTAGCGTCAACAGCTTTAGCATCACTTTTCTTTTTTAAATTAGTATCAACTTTGGGTTGTTGGAGTTTGCATGGGGAATTTTCAATTCCTTTTTCCAAATCCTCACAAGCTTGCTTTTGTTCTTGTTTTAAAGTTGTTTTTGATGAACAGTCAGAATCATTAGTATTTATAATCTTGCCTTCGGGTATTGATTGGTCTAGAGGTGGCAAAGGACTTGATGGACACGAGTAACATGTGCAGTTTTTGCCTAAAAAAATATTTACTGGAATATAAACTGAAGCATTTAAACAAAACATAGGTACATTTATTAGGTAGGATCCTCGGACTAATCTTTCCAGAAAGATTAGGGTTGGGACTGTCCCTGCCACTTCCCAACATAGGGCTTGATTTGCCAGATCGGCTGGGTTTTGACAAGTTTGTTTTTGAAATATCCCAAGCTGAAAATATCAATGAATTATTTTCCAAACAATATGTTATTTATTGCTCTACTCACCTAACGACGTTGGTCTTTGGGGTACAGGAGTATTCTCATAATCCCATTTCAACTTAAACCAATCAGCCAAAGCAGAAAAATCTCTCAAATAATTCTCCAATACCAGGATAACTTCTTGGCATTCCGTTAAACTTTCGTGGGTTTCAACTGTATTGTAAATTTCAGTAATTGATCTTTGCAAATTACCAAACAACAATGCCCAATATCTGGCTCTTAATTCTGAATTTTTGTCTCTTCCTGTTGACGCTGAACGAATTCTGGGTCTTGAACGACTTGGCATTGTTGGTAGTTTGGCGGAGTGGATGTTTTCCGGGATTATGGGAGGCTTTTTAGCAATTTTACCTTGGGAGAGATATTTGGTTAAAAATCTGATACAGGTAGGTAGGTCTTCAAAAAAAAAACCGATCAATCAATCTGTGCGAAGAACAGACCTAATTACTGAGATATTTCTTTGATGGAATACAGGATTCAGAGCTGTCTGACCCAAGCTATTCTGTTATTGGAGGGGAGGGGGGAGTTTTGATCAACTTACTTGTTTTGAGCTTTTTTATTACACTGTGCCATTTGAAATGGGATAATGAAAGAAAAAGCTTTAAGGTAAAGTACCCAATTGTTGACAGGGTCTCAAAAGTTGACACATTAGCATATTATTCTCGAAAATAAGAATTTATAGAGGTTATAAGCTAACTGAAATAGCTTTTAGTATTGTTGGAGCCATCTTGCGTCCTATAGCTGATGTATGAATTTGAAATCACAAGTTTTTTCAAAATCAATTCAAGTAAGTAGTTAACAGGTGCAATTGTTTGAACTTTTCTCCAGATTTCTAGTGAAAGTAGTTAAGAATATATAAAAACAAAAGTTCTCAAAGCTAAGGTAGGGTTGATAATATATTTAGGCACTTCAGGGATTAAAAGTACCCTTTTAATCCCTGTTTTAAGGGAGTAAAGTGGGTTTTTTAATCCCCGGGATTAAATTTTCCTTTATTTCCCGGGGATTAAAAGTACCCTTTTATTCCCTGTTTTATTTCATCCCCGGGAAATAAAGTATAATGTGTTTTTTAATCCCTCAACAAATTATAGCCCTCCCTTCGTTCGGGCTATGAACTGTCTGTCTCGGGATTAAAAGTACCACTTTAGTCCTTAGGTGTATAATGTACTATTAGTGTGTGGTAAGATACATTGTAATACATATTTATTATTGTTTTATCTCTTAAATAACGGGCATAAACTTTTTAAGGGGGGGATTCAACTATTGAAGCCCAAATCGAGGGGTGATTCAAATGTTGACACTAGTGTCAACTTATGGATTTTTGTCTTTTGGCGGTAAAATAGTTATTTTCCTAACAAGTGCGCAAAGTGATACTTTCCCGCACGAAAAAGCAGTTAGACGAACGACGCGAAGCGGAGTTCAGTTAAGCTGTGAGTGCAGGGAAGACACTTTGCGCAAGTGTTAGGAACAATACTTTTTCTACGAGTGTTTAAGATTTGCATCCAGAGGAGCTGTATACCTAAGTTTCTTAACTGTTTCCAGATACTCAAAATTGGTAATTTTCTCTCCTAGTTCAATTTGTTGTGTTTTCAATTTTTTTTTCAGTGACCAGCTTGATAATATATTTAGGCACTTCAGGGATTAAAAGTACCCTTTTAATCCCTGTTTTAAGGGAGTAAAGTGGGTTTTTTAATCCCCGGGATTAAATTTTCCTTTATTTCCCGGGGATTAAAAGTACCCTTTTATTCCCTGTTTTATTTCATCCCCGGGAAATAAAGTATAATGTGTTTTTTAATCCCTCAACAAATTATAGCCCTCCCTTCGTTCGGGCTATGAACTGTCTGTCTCGGGATTAAAAGTACCACTTTAGTCCTTAGGTGTATAATGTACTATTAGTGTGTGGTAAGATACATTGTAATACATATTTATTATTGTTTTATCTCTTAAATAACGGGCATAAACTTTTTAAGGGGGGGATTCAACTATTGAAGCCCAAATCGAGGGGTGATTCAAATGTTGACACTAGTGTCAACTTATGGATTTTTGTCTTTTGGCGGTAAAATAGTTATTTTCCTAACAAGTGCGCAAAGTGATACTTTCCCGCACGAAAAAGCAGTTAGACGAACGACGCGAAGCGGAGTTCAGTTAAGCTGTGAGTGCAGGGAAGACACTTTGCGCAAGTGTTAGGAACAATACTTTTTCTACGAGTGTTTAAGATTTGCATCCAGAGGAGCTGTATACCTAAGTTTCTTAACTGTTTCCAGATACTCAAAATTGGTAATTTTCTCTCCTAGTTCAATTTGTTGTGTTTTCAATTTTTTTTTCAGTGACCAGCTTGAATTTATTCGCAACATTTGGTTGTGCTAACGAGGTTTACTCAAAATTTGAACAAGTCGTTAAGTTTGTTTTTTCTGCCAAATTTTGGTATGAGGAGTATAACTTACATTCCAACTTTTATAATCTGATACTCCAAAGGAATGTGAGTTGGTGGCTCTCCACAATGATTCTGCCAATAAATATGTAGTTCCTCAAAACGATAGGAAAACTCCGGGCAAAAATAATTTGCAAAAACTTCCTCAACAGCTCAGTAGAACCAGAAGTGAAAAACTAATCTCCAAAAGGCGGCTAATAATGGATCCTAACCAGATGAAATCAACAGACTGGTAGGAAGTATGTGAAGAAATCGAAAGATCGGTTGCCAATAACTCTGAATTATCTGGACCCGTTATTAGTATTGCCAATGAACTATTCACAAATCAACAATAAGAAAAGCAATCAACCTTTTTGGAAAAATTAAAAGAGGCGGCATTACGTAATACAAACGGAGTAGTAAAATCTGGGAATGGAAAAGGCAGTCGGTTTTCTGATAGTTACAAAAAATTTTGTTTATACTTGTTCATTACTTCTGGCAGACAAGTTTACAAAACTCTTCGAGCAAACATGTTGAACGCATTACCTTGCATTACTACCTTACAAAAATCTCTAAGTGACTATGAAGGCTATAATGAAGGGTATATAAACATAGTGTGGCTAAAAAAAAATTTTACAACAAAGAAATTATCCTAAAAATATTGTTTCTGAAGACCAGAATGCAGTCATTAGAAAAGTCCGATATAATCCTCAAACTAACTAGCTTGTTAGATGTGTTCCGGTAATTTCTGAGGTGAACGGTTTTCCAGTGAAAGATATTCAAGATCCGATTGAAAAACGAACATTGTCGAGCGCTGCTTATGTCTACAGCTCAGCCAGTGGTGGATGGGGCGCCAGCCTTCTGTATTTGCCTTTTTGGGTCTGACAACAGGTTTGTATAAAATCAGGGTAAGTACCTAATGTTTCGAATCTTATATATTTTGTGTATAAATGAGTTTAGGGAGTGAGGTAACAGAAAACTAAAAAAATGACACCTCCTATTAGTGGGGGAATTATGCGCCGACAAGCAACGCAAATGATTTTGTTGATGTTTGTGGAGGTGTCAAAGGCGCATTTTTAAATTCATAAAATTGTTATTGTTAATTATCTTTGTATTTTTTTGGGAATGATATGAATTGCACTGAAAGCTTAGTTTCTGAGCATTAGATCTTGATTTCCATTTTCCAAAAATATGATTCTGATAGATCGTTCCATTCTATATAGATTGAAATAATAACAATAATAATGAAAAATAATTATAATTTAAGTATGTCCTCTTCCACAAGGCAATCCATTATAGTTACTCCATGATCTTTTGCAGATGGATTCCAACTCCGGATCTGAATTGAATTTCAGCGATATAAAGAAATAGAGACAGGTCAACTTGTTTTTTGAATGAATCTCTGGAACTACCTCCGGAACTACCGAGAAACCAACCGATTGATCCAGTAGTTACTTCCGAGCGAGCACCCATAGTTGCCTTCATATTCACCTAATTTGAATCAGAATTGGAGACAGTTGTTCCGACTAACCTCAAAAACTTGCTCACCATTATAGGATATGACAATGCCAGTCAAATTTCAAAAGAATCCATAGAAGAAATAGAAGACGTAGCCAAACAAAAATTCACAAATTTGTTTCTGAAAATGAGTGTAGAAATATTTATGGTGATCTTTTCTACAAAAATCCTGGCGAATTTTTTCTTATTCCAGGATACCGGGCTTTTCTAGTAGCCCGCTTGCTTTGTGCACTGGAACCAGCTAAAACGATTTAATTTTTGTATTGATTTTTTTTTTATGTGTTTTCGATTAACTTTGAGTATGCAACATGTCCTTATATGTGGTGTCCAATGAGAAATATATGTAATTATATAGTGACACACTCCCTTTCTTAGGAAAAAAATAGCCTTGAGAATGACTTTAATTAAAGTCGAAACGTCGGCAGTTCTTTAAAAAGAGAAAACTGGAGTTTTATTTGGTCCTAAACCTGCGAACTTAACTACTAATACATTAAGAAGGAAGCTATATCTACTTTACAATATTATTTTTAATACAAAGTATATTACATGTGATCCCGATGACGGCTTAGCATGTCAGGTCACCTGTTTCTGGAAATCTCGAATAAAAATTTTCAAAAGAGTTCATTCCAAGGCTAATTTTAAGAAAAACCTGCGTTGGGTAAGTTCTAAATTTTCATGTTCATTTCTTAAAACATTTCGAATTAAATGAGACTAATGCTACTGAGTACTATCTAAATGTTACTAGCACAGAGACAAATAATAGTTCGGTGAACAGCTTGGTAAATAGTGACATTGCAAATATATGTTTCATGCAAGATGCAGTGCATATTGTGACAAAGCTAAAAACTCGCTTCCTAAATCTGGAGTTATTTTACCAACGGAAGACTTTAAAGCCAGTGTAGATCATTTGGGGACTAGGTATGGTATATCTACAGTATCAAAGGTTAAACATCTTCTGACAAGATCAGACTTGAATGGGGCCGATAAAATAAATTTCCGTTATGATCAAAAAATGTCTAGTAATTAAGTTTTAGATCTGTTGCGAGAAATACCTAACAGTAATGGTACAGTACATACATTTATATATATATATATAACTCCGAATATAAGTAACTCATTAATTATGTTATTGCATCATTGATTTCAAAACAAGAAATGTTAGCAGAGCGTGTCTACAAAATTTGGTATTGGGTTTTCCGAGGTGTTTTCATTTTGCAATATTGGCGGAACTGGATAAAATCGGAGAACCAATATGCTTTACAAAAAAACTTTGTCACACTAAACGCATATACATGTACAGAATTAAACGCTCATATGTTAATAAAACTGATAAAACTGTTTCAAAATGATGAGTCACTCAAAAATTCCATGTTTATACCGTGGATTTCTACTAGTCAACCTTGTGAAAGTCTTTTCAGAGCAGCCAGATCCATCACCTCAACATTTTCGACAGTTATTAACTTCAGCATCCCCGATTTCATGTCTAGAATAGATCAAATATTCTATATTAACTCTGTAATTAATGATCTTTGTGACGAGTATATTTTTCCCAGAGAGAAGAAGACCTATGGTAAAAATGTTGTGCTTTGTTCTGACGAGGAGCTTAATAATATTGATATCAACTTAATTGTGAATAAAGCTAAAGAAGATGCTTTTAACAATATCAGGGAATTGGGAATAATCCAAGACAAAGAAATTGCTGAGAATTTTGACATTAAATTTCAAACAGAACCGAACGAGGAGTATTTCCCAAATGAAGAAGTCGATCAAGAAATCAATGATGAAGTTGAGGATGATCTTCATGAAAATGCTGAGGAAAATATTAACGCTTCAGAGAATTATTTATTTAAGTAATAAGTTCCTTTCAAATGTTGCAGAACTTGAAAAAAAGTATATTTGCATATTGCTTGACTTTGGACAATGCTTTGAATATTTTCTTTTTAGGAGTTTCATGTCCTTGTTCATTTTATTTACTTATTTAGGTATTTATGTATTAAATTTCACCAAAATTTTTTAGTATGTACCTACAATTCAATAATATTTATTTTTAATGATTACGATCATCGCTTTGAAGGAATAAAGACTGCTTTTCAAAATTGGTGTATTACTTCAGAAACTATCTCCAATGACTCATTAATAAAAAACTACAAGATTTACAGAATATTATTGAAAATGAAAAAAATAAATACACAGATGTGATAATTCTCACTGAAACATGGATATATGCAAATGAAGCAAGCTTGTTTAACCTAAATTCATTTACAGCTGTACATCAATGCAGAGATACAAGAGGAGGAGGCACTTCAATTTACATAAGAAATAGCATTAATTATGTGCAAAATAATATACCTCTCACAGACCTAGGAGGGTGTAATGCTCGGTGTAATGTACTCACAGTGGAGCTTATAGAACAGAAGATACATCTCTGGAGTATATACAGACCACCACAGACTCGACCACAGAGCAATGAAGCCAGATTTTTGGAAAACATTGACAGAATTATGGAAGTGACAAAAAAAGACTGTATTATTGTGGGTGACATCAACATGGACTTACTGGGAGACTCTGCAGCGGTGCGCGAATATAAAAACATCATTAAATTGAATGCTTATGAGATCCAAAATGAAGAAACACTGAATATGGCAACTAGAATAGGAGAAACTAGATCATCAATTCTAGATCACGTAATTACAAACAACAAATTGATTTGCAATGTTGAAGTCGAGGATCACATGATATCTAATCACAGAATAATGTATATTTATGTTAATAAAGAAATCAAGCAAGTCACGAGAGAAAAAATAACAAAAACTAAATTTGATAAACAAAAATGGATAATGAGTGTAAAAGAGAAAACAGATACAACACAACCTATTGAATCATTTGTACAACTTTCTGAAATTCTGAATAAAACAAGACTAGAGTGCAGTCAAAACTATACTGTTAAGATAGGAAAAGACAACAATTGGATAACCACTGAATATTTAGACAAACTAAAATCTAGGGATAGGATATATAGGAGATGGAAACAAATACAGAATGAATATACAGAAAAAGAGTTTAAAAGAGCTTAAAATAAATTGAATAGCTTGAGAAAAAAGTTACAAAAAGACTACATGGAAAAAAAAAATGAAGGAAGCAAATGGTGATTCAAGGAAAACATGGGAGGTATTGAATAAACTATGTAACAAAACAAAGAATAACTCACAGAAAATAAAAATGATTGAAACTGACACAACAAGAATCACAGAGGACAGAAAAATAGCACAAGAATTTATTAAACATTTTTCTAATGTAGGGCCATCTTTAGCTAAAAAATTTAAAAAAACAACTACAATTTTGTGGAAGAAGAAGCACAACAGATACTAGAAAAATGGGAAAAAACAGATTTGAAGGAAATAAAGGACATAGTTAGTGAGCTAAAAAATAATAGTGCTCCTGGTGAAGATCAATTGACAAAAACAGACATTTTAAAACTATTTGATGTGATTGGCAAAATCATGGTAAATTTAGTAAATAAAGTACTTGAGAGTGGAAAATATCCAAAGGAACTAAAAGTAGCTAAAATAATTCCAGTACACAAAAAAGGACCAAATGGTGATGTGAACAATTACCGCCCAATTTCCTTACTAAGCACCTCCTCCAAGATTGTAGAAAAAATCATAAAGAAAAGGGTAATTAAACACATCAAAGAGACTTTTCAATTTGACAAACAACAATACGGTTTCCAAAAACAAAGCAATACTTTGGGTGCCACAGTGGATCTTGTATGTTAAGGGAGAGTTGGATAGGGGTAGACATGTTGTTTTGGTTTTTGTTGATTTGCAGAAAGCGTTCGACACAGTCGATACTGAACTCATGAAAAAAAAAAACTATGTAAAATGGGATTGCATGGTGTGTGTTTAAACCTATTACAATCATACTCTACCGATCGAGAATATTATACTGAAATAAATGACTGCAAAAGTGACAAAGTAAAATTTAAAGTCGGTGTAGCCCAGGGCTCAGTGCTTGAACCTATCCAGTACCTCCTGTATGTACACAGCTTACAATATCTTCTACTAAAATCAAAATATTTCATGTTTGCTGATGACACTATACTCGCTTTCTCGGGAGAAAACCCCAAAGAACTTGAAAGAGCAATAAACAGTGACCTGAATTTGTATCATAAGTGGCTGTGCTATAATAGATTAACAATTAATGTAGATAAGACTGAGTATATGCAAATAGGGCGAAAGAGGTGTGATATGGAAGTGGTTCTGAATAGTGTGCAACTAAAGGAGACAAAGCAATATAAATATTTGGGCCTGATTCTCACAAACAATCTCAGCTGGTCTGCCCATATTGAAAACATCATTAAAAAAATATCACCAATGTTAGCAGTAGGAGCAATAAAAAGGTGCTCACATCTATTGAATAACAGTGCAAGACAATTTCTCTATAACAGTTTCATAGAACCTCATTTAAGGTATCTTCTGCCTTGCTGGGGAAAGCCTCCAAAATACCAACTTGAGAGACTGCAAAGAATACAAAATAAAACTGTGAAAACCATATATCTTATGGATCAATATACTCCCAGTGTTGACACATACAAAAAAACAAAAATCACAAATATAGACAAATTGAAAAAAATTGAACAAGTGAAACTCATATACTCAATAAAGAATGAACTAATAAAATCAAATACAGCGCATTAACCCAAAGACAAAACTATCTTACACATAATACGCGACAAAAAGAATACATAGCAAATAAATAAATAAAAGGACTAAAACAATGCAAGATTCTCCCATATACAGAAGTGTACAAACATACAATAAAACTCCAAGAGATATCATAAATGTGCAGAATTATAGACTAATGTGCCGTAACCTCAAAGACTACATTAAAGGAACAGAATAAACTAATTATTGTTAAATCAGGAACTCTATATTTATTAAGTTAATGTATTTCTATAAAATTAAATGTAGGCCCTGTTGCCAGTATTTTGTTATTGTTTAGGGGTCAGAAATAAAGAATTTCTAAAAAAAAAAAAAAAAAATAATAAATTAGTTAAGCTAAACAGTTTATAAAGCTAACAAGAAACTGCGTTTTGGAATTCATGACTCAAGGAACTTTGAAAACCTAAGCATAATTATAAAACTCTATAATGCAATTGTCAGGCCCCACTTAGAGTATGCCGAGGAGTATGTAACAGCAGATGTTTCTTAGATTCATGGATCCTTAACTTTTTGGTAATTATTGGCATTTCAATCCATGGTTTTTATTGAGAATCCTTAATAATTATTGTGAGCTAAATTATAAGACAATCCCAAAAATCATAGCGATTGCAAGGAAATCATGGGATTGTCACAGTATGTGTAACTTTTTTGAAGCAGCAAACTCAAAGGAAGAGTGATATTATCAGGTACTTGTAAAAATGTTTTAAACTGATAATTGGGGTTTGTTTTGATAATGAAAATGACAAAATAAGCTTTATTAAAGCGCAAAACAGAAAGAAACTCGCAACAACAAATCTCGGCTATACAAATGTTAACAACAATATATAAATTGACCACGATCTTACCAAGAAAAACCAAGACCTGTATAGGGAGGCGAGAAAATTCAAAAAAGACAATGACTATAAGTTTGTATGGCTAAGTGACGGAAAAACCTACCTTAGGAAGGATAAAAACAGCAGAGCTATCCTTGTTGATGATTTTGAGGTTTTAAAAAACTGAAAACATCTTCCTTGACTAAGGGGCCTTTGCTCCGTATAACTTACCTGAATATGCAGAGCATGAGGAACAAGATCGACGAACTTGGTTGTTTTTTAAAAATACATGACTGTGATGTCCTCATTTTAACCGAAACATGGTTGTCAAGGGACGAAACATGCTTCTTTGATCTGGAAGGATTTAATGCCAACCATGCATGCAGGAAGGACGAGCTGGAGGAGTGTCCATATATACAAAAAAAAACATTGACTACAGACTGATTGAGACAGTGGAGGGAACTTCTCCGTTCAATTTACTATCGATACACATAAACAAGTGCCAAATTGGACTTAATAGGAATATATAGACCGCCAAGGTATGTGTTTAATAAATTTATGGAAATTTTTCAAAATATTTTATCAAAATACAAACACAGCACAGTTGTGGTAGGAGATATGAATGTAAATCTGCTAGGTGATTTAGAAGAAAAAAATGAATACTTACTTAAATGCTATAATTACTAACGGATATAGGGTTAGCAACATTATTAATTCCGAAAATGCTACAAGAAATGGTATTTCCCAAATGTCAATAATAGACCATGTTATTGTAAATAAAAAAAATTTATGTGATGTTTCTGTGATTGACTGAGCATTGTCTGATCATAATCCTTTAATTATAGGAATAGAATTAGAGTTAGATGTATACAAGCCAAAAATAACTAAAACGTTAGTATACTAAATAAAGATAAATTTAAAGAAAACTTTGATGCTGTAAATGTAAATAATAAAGATATCCACTCATTCCAAGAGCTAACTGCGTTAATTCAGAAATTTAAAAAAGAAGCTTCATACCAATGTACCCTAAAACATCGTGAAGGTAATAACTAGATGACCTATGATATTTTACAGTTAATCAAGGAACGAGATAATAAATATAAAGCATTAAAACAACTAAAAATTAATAATGAACCTACTAAAACTACCGAAGATGAATTCAAAACTTTGAAAAACAAGATTAATTGTGAAATACACTCGGAAATATGTAAACAAAAAACATCCTTTTTTGCAAATCAGTGGTCCAATGCAGGGAGCAACCCCAAAAAACAGTGGAAAGTCATAAATTCTCTAATAAATAAAAACAAAAAAAAAGATGCTG